TATACAATTTGGCAATAACTTGAAACTACATAGTTATCGAGTACTACATAGTTACCAAAGATGCGATTGTTCAAAATGAGATTGGAATTCGCAGGCAAGCGATTCGCAGTTGCCCTATAAAAGTCAAAGTATATATATTATACCTAGGAGAGGACAAGAATGTTTTTGGAAATACTTGGCAATACTTAACGGGGAACGATACAGTGTTTGCCCTTGCAAATTCTGAAACGAAAGCATATCTAATATCTAATTTATATCAGCTATATCGAAGCTGTCTGACATACATACAGCTAATTTTGCTATCGCTCAAAACAAACTGATTGTTCCAGATGTTCGATAAGCGTTTCAACCAATAGTGCAAGGCCGTTGTTAGACTTTAGAGCAGTAGCTATAGACAAGACCGTGATACGTCTAAGCGTAGCGATGCAATTGCGTCTTGCTTGGCAAATTGGTGACGGAACACTGCACTTTGAGGAGGTGCGTCTAATGCAATTGAACATCAAGAATGAGCGGATACCCATATGCAGCAGGTACAGAGAGAAGCAGGAGAGAGGCATCCTCTTTATCTAATTCCACGCTGCCAGCCACTGATCAGAGCCACAAGATCAAAGATTGCGCACTGTCTTGACTTGCACTGTCAGAAAGCTTGTCTTGCTGTCTTGCTCGCCTTTTCGCACAAGGTTTTTCCATATCCGAGGAAAGACACACAGACGACGCACAGACGCACACCGACAGCCGCAAGTCCCTGCAGGTTAGGAACAATGACTCAAGGGGAATCGAGTGCTAGGATATTTTCGCACATCAGCCAAGTTTCGTCTCGCTTTCGTCAGGTAACAATATACTTACTGAGTTCTCGCTGGCAACATTCGATCTCTCGAAACGTGTAAAAATTACATTTCGAATATCATTCCACATTGATTTAATCGATCAATCGTTGCCGAGTCAAATCTTTCGCGACATTTGCGCTGAATTGATGCGAGTTTTTCTTTTTCTTTCTTTTTTTTTTTTCTTTTTTTTT